GGGAGTTGTTCGCTTGGGCCGAAGGCCCGGCAGTCGAGGGCACGCCATCTGACCCCCTCTTCGCTTCTAGGTTTTTCCAGGTGTATAGCGCGCGGGCTGTCGTCCCCCCAGCCATGCCCGTGGACCTGGCCATGCGGCTCTGCCTGAGCCACTCGCCCCCCATCCGCAAGCTGCTGAACTCCTGTGAGGAGCTGCGGGGCAACAGAGGGTGCAAACCCCTCCGATCCTGTCTCAACCAGAAGCTGAGTGCAGAACCTGAGCCCGAGCAGCGAGATAGCACTAAGAGCTCCAAGGGCCAGAAGAAAAAGAGAGTTGTGTTTGCTGACATGAAGGGACTCTCGCTGACAGCTGTCCGCTTCTTCTCAAAGATTGAGGAGGACCTCTGTGATTTGCAGCATGCCCTGTCTGACCTCGCCTGCTTCCGACCTAGGCTGCGGGACTCACACCCAGAAGCGTGCAGGTATGTGCTAGACTTCCCACAGCCCTCTGCGGACTACATGGCTTTCCGCAGCCGCCTACACAGCAACCTTGTCTGCCTGGAGAACTGCCTGATCCAGGACCATGCCCTGTCAGGGACAGTGAAGGTCAGAAACATTGAGTACGAGAAGAAAGTGATGGTCCGCATCACCTTTGATGGCTGGAAGAGCTTCCGGGACATCTCCTGCCAGTACATGCATAGCACGTATGGCTCAGCTGACACAGACACCTTCTCTTTTGAGCTTGCCCTGCCCAAGCCATCTGTCTCCCACAGGGCCACAGAGTTCTGCATTTCCTTCCAGTGCGGACGGAAGACACAGTGGGACAACAACCATGGGAGGAACTACAAGATCTGCCATGTGGGCATGATCCGCCCTCCCTCCCATGCTGTGAAGAGAGCCAGTGGGGCCTGGAAGCATCTTGGCACCTCTCAGGCTGCTGCCTTGGTCCTTTCTCACTTGCAGACCTGGCGGTGCTTGGAGACCCAGGCTCCTTATTGGTAGGAAAGAAGTGTGTGGAGAGGTGTAGGTCCCTTCCATGTCCTGACTGGCACAAGGGTCTTTGGGGAGGGGTCAGCTGCAGAAGATGCTGCTCACAGTTTTGTTAGCTCCTACATGTGTCTGGCCTGCTGCAGTACGAGCAGTTGCTGGTCTCCGCGGAAGCTTCTTCACTGCTGGCTCCTGCCATAGAGGCTGGAAGTTACTGCTTGGTGTAACTCCTGCCTGTAGGTTCTCGAGGCAACACTTGCAAGAGTAGGGGAGAGACAAAGGAACAGTGTGTTCTGCAGACTGCGTCCATGTCTGTCAGCTGCTTCAGGGAGGAGCCAGCCATGTGAACTGTGGAGGTCCTGGTGCTGCCTAAGTGCCTTGTGTGGAGCTGCTGAGGAGGGGGCCCCCCCACCCACTGCGCCTGGGGCCTCGGCAGAGCTCATGCTCTTGGGCTGCCACAGCAGC